CAGACCAGGTATGCCGTTAAATGTTATGGTTAATCAGCGTGCCGTGTTATTCCTACTCATTGTGCAGGTGGGCATCCTTACGTGTGGAACATCGTATCTCGCTGTTGTATTGAATGTCTGCAAAATCTGATCACGAATATCGAACAGTCGAACGACGAGATGATCAGTTTTTGGGAGAGGAAGTGTCATCACAGAGAAAACTTTGACAAACTTTTGTTACCAGGCTATATGCATGGCTTGAATCTCCACTCGACTACTGTGAAGGAACCACTTGAATCAACTTCCAACAAGTAAGAACTCATTTTTGCCGCTGGTCAGCCGTTTGCAATATGTTAAACCTTTATAGACCTACTAAGGCATCGATGCAGTACAACATCTCCATCTGGGAGGATTGGATTTTACAGACATGGAATATTGAAAGTACGTAAATGCATGCGGATCAGTTTCAGTGTTGTGACTCGCAACGGCATTGCGAATTGGAAGGCGAGAAACAGATTCGGTAATTGATCAAGGCGTACAAGTTATTCTGAATCTGCGACTTACTGTGATAATGTTCAAACTTTTAGAGAGTAGATAAGTGAGGTTACCAGTGGGGTTGGTAATTGTGAAATATGGTCATCGTCTCGAGAAGCTGCCAAGATGTCAGGAAGCTATGACGGACGATGGAATTGAGCTATATTCGTAGTTTCTGCAGCTGCCAGTAAATCTAACTCAGAAGAACTATATTTTTAACTGTATATTCGATTGATTGTTCAAGTACTTTTGTTTTTTTTGCCAAATTTGCTAATTTTGACGACTGGGTTGAATGTAGATAATACAGGCAGAAAAAATCTATGACCTCTTTCCAGTAGAAAGGACGAATACGAATTGGAATTCTATTTTTCCTTCATATTATAGGCTATAAAATTTATTTGAGGATTTCAATAATATGCACCATACGCTCTTTATCACGCAGATCAGCAGCGCCAAACACATGTGCTTGCCAGAGGTTGCTCAGTCGGTAGAGTATCAAACTTAGAACCGAGAGGCAGGCTCTAGTGGGTTGGATCACTTGCTTTTTTCTTCTGAGATAAATGAAATAGTACCACTCTGCGGAAACAGGGGACTGTACACCGTAGTCTCTGTCTACACTGCGTTTAAAATCAGGCACTCCTGGTTGATGGAATGGAAATGAAGATGAGCGGCTGCTGATTGATTTATGGAAAGAACGGCGCCAGAAATGTGACCCCATCATGAAAGTGTAAAGGAGATCGACATCCAAAGTTTGCAAGCTTTCTTTTTCCTTGTGACTTACCATTTCTGTTTGCTTGTGATACATTAACCTGTTAAACTGCGCTACCAAACTTTTCAGCTTTATGTCTGACTTTTAACATCGAGAAAAGCCATCAGTTCGTTTACAGTCAGGTAACCATTCAGTCAGCGGTTCTATTAGCTTGTGCAACGTAGTTGTTATCAGCAACGCAGACCGTTGTCAAGCATGAAAAAACACAACAAGGATGTTTAATGCTGGAATTAAAATTTTTTAAATGAGAGATTTCTGTCTTTCCGGATCCCTCAGAATTCTTGAAAGAAATTGCAGGATTGAGGCATTGATACTGTTCAGTTGTTACGAGCATGGTTTTGTAGACCTTCATGGTTCTCCAATGCGAGGATAGACACTTGAACAACTTTTCACTGATTGTAACGATTGCCCAGGGCATTTGACCGAACGACTGACAATTCCAGCAACTTCGTCAGTTAGAACATCATGAGGAATTGTGATTATTAGAAAATAAGAAACACTGCGCATATAAGATTGGCGTTGTCCTTCCTCTGTAGACTAGCGATAAAGTTTAACCGGCGTAGGTATGACTGCAATTAAGCATCCGTAAACGAACAGACGAACTATTTCCATCGAATCTCAACAGTCGCAGTAAATGGAATGATCCTCTGCGCACCTTGAGAAGATACCAGTAAGTGCTCATTTCAGCTGAGGTTGTTATTTGGTATGATACTCAACTACCGTACGGTCTTAGCACAAGGTATTGGCTCATTGCCTGTTGTTATCATGCATTCAGCAACGGTAGTAGTTGCGATCTTGTGCCCTTCATTATCATTGTTAGCTGGGCGATCTTCTTTTCGGCTAAGTTTTAGAGTTATTACGAATTTATAAGATTAATGTTTAAGTGCAATGTTGTAATGAGTCCTTTGATTTGTTGAGAGATTTGTTTTCAGTCTTGGGAGTACTTCTTTCCACTGCGTACGTTGAAGACAAATACGGGCTGGTACAGAAGGATTTGAACTACATTATTACGATGATGTTGAATTTACATTCGTTGCTCAACCGGCACTGTCGTCTTTCGGGTGTGGTTTTTATGGACTCTTCTCACAAGCGACTGTTTGAGACCATTTGTTCCAGACTCAGGACACAGTTGGAAGCTAGTCTAACCATCATTCGTAACACCTACGGCACGGATGTCAGGTACAAACTGGTAGATTGTTTCGGCGTTTTCAATGTAGATATTTTGTTTTTAGGGAAATAGGGCTTGACGAAAGCAAGGAGCAGTTGTTATTGAAACTGTCGTGCTTAAGAACCCATATACTGACGGAGTCTGGTTAGCAGAAAGTCCATCATTTCAGAACACGCCGTCGTGTGCTGAACGTTTAGAAACGGAATATGACAATTACCTGTCTGAATTTGGTTTCATTTAAAAGAGTGCCTTTTGATGCCAACAAATACTTCAACAGCTCTAATGTATCAGGTTTATCGGACGACCGAGAACGATTGATGTTAATTGTCATCTAAAGTTTGCTATTCCGTATTATCTGTATTTTAGTATACAAGCATGAACCGAGTACAACGTAAAATATGTAATTATTATTGCATTAACCAATTGTGTTTGATTTTTACCTCACCGGATAATTGCTACCGCTCCGTAGTTCGGTAGAAAACTGCTCTAATTCAGCAAATCCTCACAGAACTATTATCGACAAACTCTTTTGTTTAAGGAAAAAGGAAAACGAATTTTCTTTTCAAGATGCGAGGCAAATGCTGATAGGAGCGAGAATTCCATGCAGATGTCAGGTGAAATGAAAGGCCCAAACGCAAGGCCTTTAGGTTTGTAGAGAATTTGTATAAATAAGACATACGGTACAATCACAAGAAGGTTTTAAAATATATTTAATGTGTTAATATCACAAAATGTTTACGCGATATTTTTACAGGACATCGGTTAAATGAATATCCTCAAATACACCTTTCCAGCAGTTGTCTTAGACGTTAAATGGTTTATTTGACAATTATTTTAACATATTTTGCTGCAGAACTGATATGAGTAATGAATGACTTAAAGTCTGACATCTGATTACTTATAGAGATTCGTTTGTTACCACTAGATTTATTGCTGAATATTTCAGTAATGGTGACTGTTTTGTGGTTACCGTGGCGGATGTGAAGCATATATGTCGTTATACTTCTTCCTGACATGCAAACCCATATTTGAGTATGACGTCTTTCTCGGTGAGGAGGTAAGATATTTAATTTATAAAATTTTATATTCAGTCCTAAATAAAGAACGGCACCGCTAACTTTGCAAGTTTTGACGACATAACTGTGAAAGACCGATTTAGTTATCATGAATATTACTTAACTAGAAATACTGGATAGATTTCAGACAAGTATTTACGTTAGCAGTAAATAACATTTAAATATTAGAAACGAAACTGGTCACTTATGTTCAGCAGCCGTTTTGGCAAATGTTTAACGATCG